GTTGTTGCTTTGACCTGCTGCACATGCTCAGTTCTCAGAGAAACGTAACCCCGATGGGACTCCATTGATATTTTGTAGGGGGCGCTGTGGAGCCATTTTGCCATCAACATGTCCAATTCCTTCAGTCCTGATGAGCGTGCAGATTTTGGTGTTTTTTTGAGCATGTTTAGGCCCTCAAAATGGTTTGTTTGGGACAAAAAATCATAACCACAGCGGTTCAAATAATAAAATTCAGCGCCTTTTTGCACAACCGTGAAGCCACAAGTGACTCAACGATGTCATACATGTTGTACAATCTGTCACATAAAAGATGAGACAAACAGTATTATCAGTTCATCAGGTCTCACTGATGGCTGCAGTCGGTGTTTAGTTTCTGCCGCTTGGCTTTTGTTTACAATATTAATATTCTTGTGCAGCCAGAAACTCAGAGTGTCTTTAATTTACACGACAGCAGCTCAGCTAAACAGCAAATCCCGGTTTTTACATGTAATCATCTCATCTTTCATTAAATGAGCAGCATGTTGTTGTTGTTTTCTCCGAGTGAGTGGGCGGGGTTTAAAATTAGCCCCTGAAGCATATTAAAGGCTAACATGCTAATCACAGGTTTATGAGCAGCAACGTCCGCGATGATGAGGACGGGATTAGTCATCTTCATCACATGCTAATGAGCTTCTTTACTCCGTGTTCATCGCCACGGTAACAGATGGCAGCGACAGCACGAGGCTAATGTTAATATTCAGTGATTGTGGCCGTTATTATTATTATTATTGTTATGAAGCTTCAATCTGTTCACACCGAGTTCTGTCGCTTCGGAGGGAATAAATAAGGTTTTCATTCATATTTTGTGTTTGCAGCAAAGAAATAGTTGCACCTATTTGCTTTGTTGGTAAGAGTTAGATGCAAGAACACTCTTCCACTAGCAGGATGTTAGCTTAGCTTAGCACAAAGACTGCAAACAGCTAGCAGCTAGCACGAATTAGCACCTCTAAAGCTCTTCTGACAGGCTGGAACTTTGTAGTTTTGACAGAATATAGCAGCCGGTTACAGATTTTGAAAATGAAGTTAGAAAAATGTCTAAATATATCCATAAATTTGTATTTCTCATTAGCATTTATCATGTTGAGAGCCCTAAAAATCATTACCAGCCACCAGCTGTTTGTATATATGAGCAAAATATGAGCAAAAAACAAACAAAAAATGAGTAAACATATAAATATATTTGTATTTCTTAAATCCAATAATCCTTCTATATCATCACCAGCTGTTGCCCTGAACTGTTAACAGCCACAGTGGATAAAATTCAGGTTTTCTTTTGCAGATTTTTTAAGGAAATTTGGTTAAAATTTGTGAACAATATGCTGTAAACAAAGAGATTTTTGAAAGAGGTAGTTTTATCAGTAAACTCCTCCTCAGATTGCTTCATTTTAATACTTTGTGAGCGCTGGAGGAGGACAAATGTTCCAATATTCTGCTTAAAAATACACAGAAAATAGATAGAAATCAGAGAAAACTATGTTTATGTCTCCATGTTCTGCCTCATGCTGAAGCTTTAAGGCCTTTGAGCTGCATGTGAGGAGAAAACGGAGTTCATCAGCATCACATTAACGTGGCTCAGCAGCGTATAAAACCCCTTTAAGTGGATTGCAAACATAATTAAAATTGCAAATTAGGTTTATTTCCTCATAATGCGGCCTGGCAGGGACTTTAATTTAATTTTTTACAAAGTCTACCACTAATTGTTGAAAGTGAAAGTCTCACTCTGAGCTGAATTTGTGTGTAAATCCCGCACACAGAAATCCTCCTGCCTGTGATTCAGCGCCTGAGTTCATGGTCGGCCTTGTCAAAAAAGACGATTTCAGCAGCTTTGAATGATGCACGAGGTAGAAATGTCAACGGGGTCTCCGTGAGATCAGCCGGAGCTCTGGGCGTTGAAGGAAACCTGTTGTCGTTTGCCGCTTGTTGCTGCTGACTCACTAACTTGAACGCTCTCCCACTCCTCTGACCTGCTGCAAAACGGGATTTGACTGATGCACACACACATATATATGATGAAAACGATGGAATATCAAGTTACTTGGCAACAACCGGCGCGATCGTGGCGGCAGCTGAAAACGGAGAGGCACAGATGATGACCTCGGTTTGACTTCAGCTGCTGTTTGCATCGCGTTCGAATGGAATTAATATGCACTGACTTGTGCTGCAGAACATAGAAATGAAGGACGAAGCTCCAGATGTACATGCACACCCGCAGAAACATCCATATACTAACAGCTGCATGTGGATTTATTTATTTTAAATCCTCCGTATTACGTGATTCACAGATACATATACAGTTTTTCAATTTGTAAAATTACCAGTCGGTGTCTCTGTTTGTTTCTGAAGCGAAGATTTGGACAAACTTCACCAACACAGAGTCCGATTGGAGACGATGCCGGCAGGTACCCGAGAGAAGGAACGGTACGATCAAAGGAGAAGGAAGAGAACCAGGATCCATGCTAGGCTAAAGGCTAACCCCTCCAGACCAGCAGGATCCATGCTAGGCTAAAGGCTAACCCCTCCAGACCAGCAGGACTGTCCTCCTACGTCCAATGTCCGAGGTTCACCATGTTCAATGAATGGCGGCACACATGGATGCAGCGACCCCTTCAGGAGACCAGCAAAGTGAATCTCAAAGAGAAGAACAATAAACTGCTGGTCCTCTGTGAACTAATCATCACAATGGTGGATGAAAAGAAAGAGCTCCAGGAGAGAAACAACCTCCTGGGGACAAATATCATGGAGCTCCACGGGCAAAAGGAGGACCTGGAGACAAAAAATATGGCCGTGGAGGAGGAGCACAAAGTCCTGGAGATGGACAACAAGATGCTCCAAGATTTTCTGGTCAAGAAGAAAAAATGGAGACTTTCCAATCGGCTACTACACACATTAGGTGTATTTGCACCGAGGATCGGATCGGTAGCGCCGATACCAGCCTGCATTCTACTCAGTATCGGACCGGAAAGGAAATCGGTGGTATCAAACATGACTACCGCTCAGCCCACTGCTGTGATGCTGCCTGGCTGTAGCTTCCACCTGTACTACTGAGAAGACAACGGTGAGGACTGAAGGACTGAATGGAGTCAGAGCTCCATCTAGTGGACAAACGGCACAACGACAGCATTCTGCGTGACTGCAACAGCATTTACTGTTTTATGAGAAAACAACCAGATGGTTACAACAGATTCTTCATGTTAAAAAATGAAAACATTTCTAGTTTTGTTACAATAAAAAACTCAAAACAAAAACCACAGAAGTCACAGAAATACTTTGATCATTCATCCCTGACTTACAGGCACCACAACTCGCTGGTTATTTCAGGTGAGGATGACAGTTTGGATTAAAACATCCTCTTTGCCATATTTTGTTCATTTCCTCGGTTTCCACAGAGATTCAAAGTGTCCTTATCAACGTGACCACAAGGGGTCGCCAACATTAACACGGTTCTACTGGACGGTGGATTAGATCGCCGCGGCCTCGTCTGTATTCTATTTCTGCACAATCAGGTTTTTTGCATCATAAAAAGCTAAAGTGTGCAGCACACGTCAGTTACAGTACGATGTAAAGCCCCTCTGTCTGTGAGAGGCTCAGATTCACACCAATGAATCCACAAAAAA